ATGCTGACAGCTTTGATTTATGGTGGTCTCCATACAATACTGTGTATTCGTGTGCATTTCAATTCGTTCAAAGCACACATCTGACTTTTGTACATCTATCACACATTAACTTAGCCAGCCGCACTATCCTCACAGACAGACTACCCCCTCGGATTTACCCATCATCATTTTCTTTTCAATCTGCCCACAAATGCACAGCCTGTCCAATTATCTGTTATTTCGAGTGAAAGTTACAGCAGGTTTGGGAACACAAAAATCAAATAGTACCTTTTATCAGCTGAGTAAATAAAAATCCAAACAATCCAACTCAAATCTTTAGGCATGGCATACTCCAACTGTACTGTATTATGTGTCTTTTTAGCAACACTAACATTTAGAATTCAGAGCCAGTTACCCTAAGTGTCCATATAAACCTGTGTACACCAATGTTTCACCTTATAAATCATGCAAGAAGTTGAACAAGCAAATAGTATCAAATGTATTATAAACTGTAGTGCTTGAAAAGTAACTGCATTCTTTAGACATCAAAAATCTCCCACTGAACTCCAGTGATGTACAGAGGCTCCATGGACATAAATATGATCAAGTCAATATTCTAAGTCCATTACAACGAATATGCCCATATGAAGCTGTATAATTTACATCAGCTGCAAGGCAGGGTGTTGAAGTCTCCGCACACCCGGCTAGAAGCTGTTGGAAATGAAACAGCACCGGCAATACAAAAAAGGAGGTGAAATTTTAAGAACTTACCGACCCATACAGTTCCCCTTTCTCATTCATCCCTAGGTAGAGTCCACTGTCGACACCTCGAATGCTGACCAGGCCCACTGCTATACTAATAAATTCCAGAATTCCTACAAGCATATAAAACAAAAAAGTTAAAGACAATTTATTGATGGCATTAGGTTATTAAATATTTAGACAATTCTGAAGTTTTACATCCTATTAACCTGAATTGCATCAGCTGGTGAGAAACAAGTTCCTGCTGGCAAGGCTTGCTAACACATGTACAGTTGTGTGAAAAAGTGTTGGCCCCCTTCCTGATTTTTCCTTGTTTTTCACGTTTGTCACACTTTAATATTAAAATTTGTTTGATGATCTGAAACATTAGGTCAGTCAAAAGATAAACACAACATGCAGTTTTTAAAAGGAAGGTTTTTATCATTAAGGGAAAACAAAATCCAAACCCACATGGCCCTGTGTGAAAAAGTGTTTGCCCCCCGTTAAAACATAACTTAACTCTGGTTTATCACACCTGAGTTCAATTTCTCTAGCCACACCCAGGCTTGATTACGGTCACACCTGTTCGCAATCAAGAAATCACTTAAATAAGACTTGACTGACAAAGTGAAGTAGACCAAAAGATCCTCAAAAGCGACACATCATGCCGAGATCCAAAGAAATCCAGGAACAAATGAGAAAGAAAGTAATTGAGATCTGTCGGTAAAGGTTATAAAAGCCATTTCTAAAGCTTTGGGACTCCAGCGAACCAAAGTGAGAGCCATTATCCACAAATGGCGAAAACATGTTACAGTGGTGAACCTTCCCAGGAGTGGGCGGCCAACCAAAATTACCCCAAGAGCGCAGCGACGACTCATCCAAGAGGTCACAAAAGACCCCACAACAACATCCAAACAACCTCAGTTCAGGTCAGTGTTCATGACTCCACCATAAGAAAGACTGGGCAAAATAGGCCTGCATGGCAGAGTTCCAAGATGAAAATCGCTGCTGAGCAAAAAAGAACATAAAAGCTAGTCTCCGTTATGCCAGAAAACATCTTGATGATCCAAGACTTTTGGGAAAATATTCTGTGGACTGACGAGACATCTGGCGTAAGAGTAACACAGCAGTTCAGAAAAAGAACATCATACCAACAATAAAACATGGTGGTGGCAGTGTGATGATCTGGGGCTGTTTTGCTGCTTCAGGACCTAGAAAACTTACTGTGATAAATGGAACCATGAATGTGCGGCCATCTGTTCGTGACCTCAAGCTGAAGCGAACCTGGGTTCTGCAGCAGGACAATGATCCAAAAACACACCAGCAAGTCCACCTCTGAGTGGCTGAAGAAAAACAAAATGCACACTTTGGAGTGGCCTAATCAAAGTCCTGACCCGAATCCTATTGAGATGCTGTGGCATGACCTTAAAAAAGGCAGTTCATGCTCAAAAACCTTCCAATGTGGCTGAATTACAACAATTCTGCAAAGATGAGTGGACCAAAATTCCTGCACAGCACTGTAACCGACTCATTGCCAGTTATTGCAAACGCTTGATTGCAGTTCTTGCTGCTAAGGGTGGCCCAACCAGTTATTAGGTTTAGGGGGCAAACACTTTTTCACACATGGCCATTTGGGTTTGGATTCTGTTTTGCCTTAATAAAAACCTTCCTTTAAAAACTGCATGTTGTGTTTTTATTTGTGTGATCTTTGACTAATATTTCAATTTGTTTGATGATCTGAAACATTAAAGTGTGACAAACGTGCAAAACAATGAAAAATCAGGAAGGGGGCCAACACTTTCACACAACTGTAGTTCAATACATAGGGGTCGTAGCAAAAAAAAAAAAGGCTAGATCAAAGAAGATCTCCCAAGAAACCCATTCTCAAGTTCCAGAAAGGGGTGCTGGAAGCTAGGTCAAAGCAGTGGGAACTGAAGTTCAATGTTTCTAAATTCAAAGTAATACATGTACGAAAGATAGAATCCCCTGATGGAACACAATATTGGGAGTACAGTTTTTAGCAAAACTAGAGAGGAAAAAAAAAAACTTGACAGCGCTTTAAGTCAGAAAATTGCAGTGTGGGCTGGCAGTGGGAAAAGCGAATAGAAATCTGGGATGCATCAATACTGGGATCACCAGTAGGAGGAAGGGGGTCCTGATTCCCTTGTCTAGAGACCTTTAGATATCACTAGGGTGAGCACCAACAGGAGGAAAGATGTCCTGATTCCACTATATAGACCTTTAGTTACACCTCATTTAGAATACGGCTATACTCATCATCGTTACCAGACTGATCATCAGTCAAGCCTCTCTCTCCCACTTCTCAGCTCCATCACTGGTGCCATACAACAGTTTCCTCAATCCACTAAAGTCTGTCAGGCATTTTTAAAGATTTCTACCTAATTTCTCTTCCAAACTCTGGAAATTAAGATGAAGGTGAAGTTCAACAGACTGCATTTTTTCTTTAAACAAAGTAAAACTCCAAGGCAAATAGTATGATCTATGGATCTCAAATATATGCCCCACATAGAATTTCTACCTTGCTCTTACATCAAGCAACCTCTACATGCACATTTCAAAACCTTACTACCCTAGGTAATGCTACTCACATTTTAGGGATGAGTTCTGAAAAAAAAATTGGCCAGTGAAGTTCTGCTTCCTTTGTCACCTTTCATATTACAGTTTGCCCAGTGCTTTACAATATAAGGACATTACAATCACAATACAATTCAAAGACAAGATGGAAAGGACAGCCCTGCCCATGAGGGCTTACAATCTAAAAAGGGAGGGGCAAGTGATACATGAGGAGGTAGCTGGGTGGGAATACAGATAGTACACTGGCAGCCCCAGAGGGGAAGGAGTGTTCAGTTAAAAGGTAAGAGCAGCAGAGGCGAAGGGGGTGGGGAGGAGGGGGCCCATTGGTGGCAGTAATTTCATTTTCCCCAAATTCGCCTGGGAAAGTGGCGTTACCCTTTAAGTGGGGCTACCCTGATACTACAAGGGTTAAATGCTTGTTTTTGTTGAGGTGTATTATGTAAAGCATGTTTACTTACCTGATCCTGCTCCCCTGGCAGTTGGTGCTCACCTTTCTCACCTCTGGCTGGTGTATTGTCCCTTAGCATCCTCACATATAATGCAGATGGGCCCTGTATTGCATGTTTTCACAATCAGTGGGTATCTGAATGCCAAAGTCAAGGAAGGGG